TGACCGCCCACAGTCTTCGTCTTCGTTCGGCACTCGACCAGTGCCGCCTCCATCTCTTTAGCGGTAACCGTATACATTGCAGCAACGAATTTCTCTAAAACATCCCCGTCGGCTATACCTCCGAAAGCTAGTCCTGCAGCAACTCGGCACTGCTCTCGGTATTGTGACTTGAAGGCTCCGATCGTCTTACCAAATTCTTCTGCAAATTTGTAGTCCCTGCTTTCGTGGTTGTGTAAGAGGACAAAGACTGACCAGGCTTCAAATTCGGTCTGGATACCATGTTTGGCCATCAGCCGGCGCATATACTCATCGTATGATGCCTTGAGTTCCGTTGCCTTACTGAGCATGTCGTCTTCGAGTTCGAATGCATCTATGATGCGCTTATCAAATGGGTTTTCCCACTGCGGTTTGAAGTCTACCAACTGAACCTGATCGTATAACATGCCCAGGATCTTCTTTGAATGATATATCCGGTGCTCTGGAACATACTTCTTCTCCATGAAATGTGGCCACTTCCAAGGCTTTAACTCACGCGTCATCTCCGCCGGCAAGCCGCTCTTCGGGAAATCGACAGCCTTGGAGTGCAGCTCGGCCAGGGCTAGGCATTTCTCGTCGTTTACACCGTCAGCTTGGGAGTCGGCTTGTGCTAGATGCGCGTGCGCTATCTGTCCAAGGGAGTCATTCTTCATGTAAGTGACGAAGAAGTCTCCGATATGCGAAGCGGTGATTGGGTCTTCGGTTTCAAAGGGCTTTTCAGCCGTGAAATCCATAGGTGGTGCGTTGACGATTTCGGGTATCAGGTCGGCGTCCCACAGTACCATGTAGTCATCCCCGTCAAGGTCACCACCCGAACACATGTTGGCAAGATCTCGATCTCCAGTCTGAGGCAACACGACAACATTCTTTAGGTGATGGAGCATCGGCACATTCACTGCGCGGACCACTCGAAGGTCTCCTGGATGCAGTGACGGATTTCGCGCCAGGATACACACGCCTTCGACAATCTTGTAGTGGCCCTTCTTGCTGGTGTCGTCAACTTGTAAGAAGATCTCTGGGAGTGTTGCCATCTTCTCATTCCTCGTAGCATCAAGTCTAGACTGGGGATCGTTCATGTGACCTCGAAGCGTTGCTGTCTCGTCGACACATCCAAGCACAAATGCACCATCTTCAATAGCGATACGAGCCTTTTCTTTAAGATTTTTAATGGTGCAAGCCCTCCAGAGTTTGAGAAGAGACATGATGAAGGGATCTTGGGCTTTCATGAACCCATCCAGTACCATGCCCGCCATCGTTAGGGTAGTCTGATTCATGTCGATGTGCTTCTGAAGCTTCTGTAAAGCTAGCCTTTGATCTACCATAGCGTTCTCATAATCGTTGATCATTTCTTGCTGTTTCCTGATGAAAACGTAATCGAGTACGCCGAGATATGATAGTACGACAATGATTTGACGATTGAAGAATGGAGTGGCAAGGGATGACGACCGGATGATCTCGAGACCGTGATGGGGTGCCACAAACTTTTGTTGGCTCGGTCTGATGTGAACCTCACGACCAGTGATCTTGGGATCGAGTGCAAGCACTCCTTTGCAACCACCAAGGCGAAACTGGAACAGAGACGGCGGAGCATCGAATGGCAGTCCGAGCTCTTGGGCAGCCATTTTAGCTAAGAAAAGCGATATCTTACCGACTCCGTCTGTGAAGGTATAGCCGTTGCGCGTGATATCAGGAATAGCTATGACCTTGACGTTGTCTGGCATTGCGCGAGTGGTCGAGAAGCATTGACCCAGACGAGCACCGAATTTTGCCACAGTCTTGATGTGACTGAAGTCTCCTAGTGCGACACGGATATCATCGGCAGACTTAGACGAAGTAGGTGCGTAGAAGTATGCGCCGTGTTCGCGAAACTGTGAGTTGCCAGATGCTAGAAACTCGTAGTATCTTCCTGCGACAACGATGCCATGTTTCATGGCACGGCGCACCCTATCGAATGTAGCTTCAGCTCTTCCGTTTGGCATGTTGCGGAGTTGACCTTCGGTTTTTTCATCGGAGAATTTCACTCGGAGGAACCTATCACTGTCCGCAGCATGCTTACGAATGATGCGATTAGAGGTCTCCATGATAGGTGATGCGACATGCATCATGGTTGGGGTTATTGTGACCGATCGCTGGAGGACGCAGTAATTAGGAACTTTCTTCTCGAGGTGTTTGACCCGGATGTTGAATATCTCCATCGGATCGTAGTACGTGTGTTGTTTGTCGACTACTTTCTCAAGTATATAGACAGCACGACAGGGCTCTAACGCCGCGAGCTGCTCCAGGAAGTCGCTCGTCATGTTATGTTCTTCCAAGTAGCCGTTCGACAGGCAAGCCTCGAGCTGATACCGAACTGGGAAGTTTAGATGAATCTGGCCAGCGAAGAGGTCATCGAATAATGATCCCTTCGAAGTGGGCGTCGATCCAAGATGCGGGTGAGTGCCGGATATCTCTTCCTGTAGCAGAGACCATAGAGGCGATGCAGCCTTTTCCTTGACTGTGTACTCCTCAAGGTTCTCAATCATAACGCCATGATCGGCAAGAGCATTACTGAATTCCTTGAATTTGAGCCCAGTTATGACTGCTGCATCGAAGCTCAAGCGATAAGTGGTCCATCGGCCTGAATTAATCAGTCGGGTATTCATCAAAAATGCTAGCAAGACTTACCAATATCAATAATAGCGGTATCCTTATGGTTCATCAATGGTGAATCCTGGAACGTCTTCTTAATCGAGTTGTTGACTACATCAGTCGCTCGGAACCAAGTGCTCCAATCGTCCCAGAACTTGTCTTTAGAGAAGCTGGTGTGCTTTGTCCCATCCCCAAGGCATTCGCCCTCCTTCATCTGCATGTAGAACTGTGGTGGAGAGTCGAACGGAATGATCAAAGCCGGTCGACCCGTGATCTCGTCGGTGGTCTGGTAGATACGCGAGAGTAGAGGGATTGGCAATCGAAATCGAAACTTGCGCAGCTCATCATCAATATTGATAGGAAACTGGATATCGAGCTCTTTGCGAGTTAGGTTCAGCATCACGGAAGGTTTGAAGTCCCCTGTGGTGTTTGTTGTGGCGGCGGCTGCTTCATCTGACGAACTTAAGGTACGCATAGCGTTCATGCTCTTTTCTGCGACCCTGACGCCGAAATCGATCCCCTTCAATGGCAAAATGTTGAACTCATAGTATGTTTTTGTGGGGTTAGCAGGGCTAGGAACGGTCTTGACACGGGGAGAGAGTGTCTCGGATCCTATGAGAGCGGCACCGAGACGTAGGTTCCGAAGTGGGATAACACTGGGAGGGGGAGGTCTATCAAAGAGTTGTTAGAATTTACGTGATGCTATAGAACGTACACTTACCGGAAGATCACATAAGCGGTATTGTCTCGATTGCGAGGGACCATATCGATGCTGAAGACGGTGCCAAACGATGCCATCGTGCGATAAACGTCCTTTGTCCAATAGTTCTTGGGTATACCCGAAAGTTTGATCTTGCCTTCCTGGTTGTGGGCCCAATTCTGGGCTCCATCTCTCAGCATTGGTCGCTTTAGGTTGCGCTGATCGACCGAGTTGTAGCGTGGGCGGTTATCTCCGTACTGATGAGATGCTCGAGTAATCTGTCTCGATGGGCTGGTAATTGGTGACCTCACGATAGGAGGGTTTGATCCAGTACGGGTTCCCGCAATGTATGTCTCATTGATGTTGTGGCCGTTCAAGTCGAACGAAGAGATCTGTTTGACAGGCGTAACAGGTGATTCCACACTGGCTGATGGATTGGCCAACTGCTCGGGAGTTGCTACACGATTGTGAGGAACCTGAGTGGAATTTGAACCTGGATTGGCCTTGAGCGTCGGTCGATTCGGGTTGTGATGGCCGTTGGAACTACCAGAGCTGTCGGAGTATGTACGATCGCCACCTCTACCACCACGAAATCCGCTGGGGCCGCTGCGTTGATTGCCACGGTACATGTTGCGGGCGACGAAAGACCTCTCACTGTTAGAGCTTGTCTCCGACTTCTGTTCAATATTTCCAGTCGGTTGTCGGTCTAGAGCGTAGGGTTGTGTTGATGTGGGAGTGCTGTTGTTGAAAGCAGGAGTCGAGACAGTGGGACCTTGATTAAGAATATGACGATCCATGTTTGCTTGTTAATGCACTTGCCGTCGCTCTGGTCCCTAGGGAATGGCGGTAGGAACAGTCGGTAGCAGTAACGAGCTGCCAAATCGACAGTGACCGCTACTTAAGGAAGGCGCAATGTAGCGGTGCCGAAGCGGCTGACTATGGGAATTTTGGAAGCGTAGACCAACGACACCCGGCTTTTGGGAGAACAGAATGAGACGATGGAAGCCGTTGTTTGCTCGAGGTGGATGGGTAGTTAGACGAGCGTTTGCTTATAGCCGTTCTGCATCCGGTAAGAGCGAGTCGCGACAGGTGTGCGCGATATTTGCGTGGTGACAATAGACCGGAAGTCTTCGAATTTGGGGGCTAGAAGATGGCTTGTAGCTGAAAGGATTGTCGAGATAGCAGCAGCGGACAAGGCGATGTGATGGGGCAGCTGGGGTGGAAAGAAAGCCTCAGAGGAGCAATCGGATGAGGAAGGTGCGGGGTCAAGTCCAGAGCTACTACTCAACAATACGTCTGAGTCGAGATGAGGAAGTTACGAATGGGGAGCAACCTGAGAAGTTGAAAGATGATGGCTGATGTAATGATGAGTTACGGGAAGGCGCAGAGGAAGGAAGCAGGTAGCCGTAGGGTATAAGAATCAGGACAAGATCAAGAAAAGAAATTGAGAGGAGATAAGGCTAGTGTTGAGGTAAAGCTATCGGAGGGTAAAGTTGGAATTAACACTTTAAATAAGGATAGACCGTTGGGTATCTCAGAACTGTCAAATGTCTCACGCACCTTGTATCAAAGTGTTCTTATTTAATGTTTGCAGATTTAGTGGTTGACCATGTCATATTATGCTATAACTCCTTGCTCACAGTTCAGTCATGGTCTCATCGTCTTCCACTGGCATACGACCAGTCCCAGACATAAAGCCTGGAGTAAGTGGCGTGCCTGTCGCAAACTCATCTTCGATGTCGAAATCTGTCTGCTCAAAAGCCTGAAGGCTGCCTGTGGACTTTCTGACTGAGTCAAGTTCGCTAGCTGTGCCTTCTCTCTCACTATCTGGTAATTTGAACTCAGCAGTTGTATGGCGGCGATTCGGCGATACTGGCCTCAGAGCACGCTTGCTTGATGACAAGTTACGTGAGTGTAAGACTGGCTTGGATGTCGAATCCGGTTTTTGGGTGTACGGCGTTTGCATCGTTGGCACTTTGAATGTTGGCCTTGGTCTGGCACGCTTGGGTGTTGGCCCGCCGCCTAGTGAAGAATTGGAGTCGGCAGACGAGGCGAAAGACGCATTTGTGACATGCTCATTGGCCTGGTCAGGTAGTTCTTGGGTATCCACCTGAGCCTTTGGCATGCCTTCTTGAGTGTTGATAGCTGACTTCCGCCGTCTGTGAGTTCGCGGCTCGCGTACAGTTTGGGGCTGAGCGATCTCTTTGAATGTTCGAGAAGCAGGCCGAGTCGGCCGCAGATGCATAGCCATCATTTTCTGAGCGGTTCTGAATTCTTCCAGTTCCTCTTCCTGCTCTCTGCAGAACTCCTCGAGTTCTTGGATTCTTGCCTCTAATGGTGGTATCGAGGCTTGAAGGAATTGAACGTCGCTACGGGTCTTTTCGTGATCATGTCTCTCTTGGCGAGCGCTATTCTGAGCATTGTGCAGCTGAGCCTCTAACTCTTTGCGTTCGTCTTCAGCTCTTCTAGCAGTGGCATTCATATCGCTGGCATGCTTTGCTACAAGCTCTTTCATCATTTCTGCCGATGATTCTTCAAGCTCTTGATAACTTGTCCGCAAGACGTGTAACTGTCGAAGAGCGTCCTCAAGCTCCGCTTCCTTTTCTTCCAACTGATGCTGGTGTTCTATTACTTGTGCTTCAAGTCGTGCAATGTCATCCGATTGTCGAGAAGCCTTTCCTCGTTCCTTTTGAAGCAAATCTTCTGCTTCGTGGCTACGATTCTGATGCTGCTCGCACTGAGTTGTTAAATCTTCAAAGTTTTTCTTCTGCTGCGCCTGAAACTCTCTGAGCTGGTCTATAGTGACGCTCAGCTCATGGACCTTCTCATCACGAGCGTCGATGGCCTGTTTATACTGGTGTGTCATTGAGCGAAGCTCTGACTCTACTGCGCTCGATCTTTCGTGGGCGGCATTCAAAGCCTCGGTTGCGTCTCGTTTTGACGCCTCAAGAGAGGTCTCTATGTCTTGGAGTCTGGAATACATTTGATCCTTCTCTTTGGTCAATTCAGACTTTTGCTGCTCTAGTTGCTGTTGGTCGTCTTTCAAATCTTGCAAGTCCTTGTCCAGGCCGTCTACGTGATCGATGTAGTCCTGTCTTTCTTGGCGTAACGACTCAATTTGTTCTTCAAGATGAGCAGTTTTTTCTTGGAGCTTCACAGACCTCTCTTTCTCTAGCCGTAGCGGCTCTTCGACTGTGTTGCAACGCGTCTCGAGATCACTACAAATCTGTGCCATAGAGCGCATGACGGCATCTCGCTGGTATTTGCTTTGACTTTCTAGCTCCGAATCGAGACGTCTTCTCCAATCTTCTAGATGCTGGCCTGTGTGTTGTGTGCTTGCTTCTTCAAAGAGAGAGATTGAAGGTTGATTCAAACTTTCCATTGAGTGCAAACAAGCATTCAACACTGGAGGAAGGTCTCGCTGTTTCTTAATAAGAGCAGTGACGACGGCTTGCGGTACCGTCGACTCTCCCGGTTGCGCCGCAAGAGCGATGGTGAGTAGAGAAGCGATTGTGGCAGCGACTAATCGCCTACGCACCAATGCCGCATGTGCGTAGCAGCCGGTACCTTCTTTTCTTACAGTAGGATGGGCTAGGTTCGTAAGTTTCTCTTGCAGAGTCTTTGATGACAGTGCACGCAGCACAGTAGTTCGTAGGATGCCAGACGTCATCGTAGCAGTGGCCAACTCATCGATAGCGCCAATAAGATTAGAAGCCTCACGGGAGCCCGGCTGTGAAGCACACGCTGCTAAGATACCTGATACGAGTGCCAAGATGGTTTCCTCCTGGATATGCATTGCAAAGGCTGGCAGAGAAACCGCAAGAAGCTCGGCAAAGTTTTCGGGCTCTGCTATACGAGGAGCTTCTAATAAACACGCTTCGTAGCGTGAGACGATGTCTTGCGGTAAGCTCAGATGGGAACTCGAAAGTATGCCAAGGAATGACAGAGCCTCCAACTGAACGGGTAAACTCGCATCAGAGCTCTGTACTTTGGAAAAGCACTTGCTGTACAGGGTGGCCGCCGAGCTGCTAGATAGATGCCAATTGTCCTTTACATCTTGGCCAATGGACTGTAAAGCTCTAGATGCGATGCGTATACCCTCCACTGCCTCGTCATCTTTGATCCCTCCTCGAAGAACCCACACCACGTTCAAACAGGTTAGTTCAATGGTTTTGTAAGAGTCCTTGGTTGAACCGAACAACTTTTGGCCTGACGGTGTTACCCAATGTTGCTTCAGCCTTTCCGTAGATGTCGGTTCCTCATCAGTAGACGAGCTTTGCAATTTCTCAACTTCTTCAGGATGCTCTGTGAGTAGTACTATACCTTCCGCCCATAAGAATAACATAGAAGACTGTACAACTCTCTTAGATCTGAGTATATTGCACAACTCTGTGTCAAACCGATGTCTCGAGTCCCTTGGAAGAAGGCTGTAGAGCCGACGACATGCTCCATTGAGCATACGATACACTGAACGTAGTGTATCGTAGTTCGGTTGCTGGGTAGCGTGTTCGAAAACATTGAGGAAGAATGTCTGTGCTGTAGCAGGTAATGGAATCGCCTTGGGCAATGGACGAGAGAGGAGAAGCACACATAGCTCGGCGTGCTACATGAAATTAGACAGGATTATACCTCTAAGTTTGTATACTGACCTGCTCAAAGTCGGACTTGGATGAGCTTGCCTTCTTCAGCAAAGTATGAAGAAGTGTCGGTTGCAGGACCAGTAATTCATCTCGAAATTCTGGCGCATGACCTAAATTAACTCGTCAATTCTTGTTGTGTCCCCGATGTTGGAGCGGACAGCGGTAAGCTGCTTACACAAAAGATGTAGCACACGCAACGTGTAAGCATTCAAAGGTAATGCATCGAAGACGATCCTGGCCAGCCTGTTCACCGCACATGGTGACCGGTCTTGGACACATGATCGGATAGTCGGTACGTCTGCTCCAGCCAGAAGATCGTATAGATGCTGTGGAATCTCGCGTCAGCTCAGCAATGATGGCACGCATATGCAGCGAGTCATGTGCTCGGGCTCGAGACCAGGCTAGTGGTGCGACGCGAGGGCGTTGAGAAGATGAGGGGCAATGCGTACGGATAGCGAAGGGGGGTATGGACATTCGATAATCCTTGTCAATTCGGACGTCAGCTTTGCGGTGATATCCGCCATGTCGGCTGAGTCTGTTTGAGTTCGGAGATGGGCCGGATAGTCGTTGTGGAGCGCGCTCGTTGTGCATATGGAACGCGAACGTGTTTGCTATCGCGTTCTCCCGACAACCGAACTAGGTGCCGACATCACCGACTTCCGCATTCGTGTCAATGCACGCGACCATGCAACGTCTCGCATCCCGTGCTCGCACATGCACATCCATGGATGATTCTTGATTGACGTCAGCCATCTATGAATCGTACAGCCGCTGTGCGCAACACTGCTAGTCTTGCAGGCGTGGCGGGGCTTGTTCTATTCTCCGCTTACATATTGCTTCCCATTGGCGGCATTAGAATGTACGCTTCTTTGCTTTTGGCAGCTCCTTCATTGCCTCGCGCGTGATACTCAGCGCTGTGATATGCCGCTCAAGGGGGTACTATACAGTGCTATGTTTCTATACTATAGAGCTGGACACCTCGAAGCTGAAGCCGTTGCCGCGGCATCTACGAACATCCCCGAGCGTTCCGTCTTCACCGGCAAGCAAAGGCCTAAAAACGCGCGTGGGGTGTAACAAACGTCCATGTGCAGCATGTTCCCCCACTCGCTCGATTGTCAGCCAGCATCTGGGCTGCACAGACAAGAGGAGTAAAGTTTAGTGAGGTAATCGTATCACGGTTGCCCAATAGACAGACCATGGCAGGTCTGCCGCATCCCTCAGCTGCTCCACAGGGCTTCCGAGCTCCGCTCTTGAGCCTCAAACGCCATGGGCATCGGGTATCGAGGTTGGCAATTGTTCCTGGCATACGCCTCTTCTGCCACTTATCTCGACCTCGAAAAGGAAGCATACAGTGCAGCAGCGCACCTCGCAGAGTTCCAGATCCACAGCTCCGGTCCTCGTCTGCAGCCGTTCGGGGCCCTAGCGAACGCCTCGTCACGCGACGGCATGCCGTTCGGAATGTCATCCAGCGTCACCTGTCGCCACGATGCATCTCGAACCAACACATTTGCTTGTCATCGCCCTGGTCTTCCCCGCAATCACCTTGCGTGTATTCAAGCCCCCTTGCAGGTGATCATGCACGACTTCATTTGCTGCGTGAGCCGAAAAATTTGATACATAAAATCGGGAATCTAGTCAGCCTCCCACGCTATCACTGGCCCATCCCACGAATTCTGGGACGTGTATTGCGACTTTACCTGTGCGTTGGCCAACGACGCTCAAAGCGATACCCGAAAGAACAATCGCGCCAACTGCGTTTAGACTGAGATATCTCTCCCCGCTCTCACTGTGCTTGCCGTCCAGCTTCTAGATCCACAAAATGCGTACGGCAGCCTTGCTACTATTCTCTCATCTCCTCTTCCCTCACCCTAGTTCGGTAAATGCGCCCTGATCGATATTTAGTGGAGGCGGGTTCGACTTTTAGTTTCATCAACCATCCCAACAGCTGATTGCATCTTCTTCTTCTTCTTCTCTTCTTCGTTGTTGATTTGTCATGTTTCGCCAGCCAGCAGCGCGACTGAGGCAAATAGTCTCACCTTTGCTCAAGCGAGGAGGCGCTCGAGCACGTACCGGACGCGAGCAGACATTCAGATCCGAACATTCTCAACGGCCATTTTGGAACTCAGGAAGGGTCTTGCTGTTTTCTGCCGTCACCGGCACAACTACGTACTTCTATGGCGCCAACGATGAACCTCACAGGATTCAAATGCCATGGCTCAAGTCCTCAGGACCCCAATATGCGTCCAAACACGAGATGGAGAAGGTAGGCTCGCGAGTCGTGCAAAGGTTCGCACGCATCAGTCACTCACCTGGATGCAGGCAATTGAAGAATTAAGGACAACACTTGGAGAAGATGCGATTAGTACCGATGACGAAGATTTGCACAGACATGGATACTCGGAATGGTCGTCCATTAACATCGACCAGCTCCCAGTTGCGGTGGCTTACCCAAAATCTACGGAAGAGTGTGCCTCGATCGCCAAGGTCTGCTACAAATACAAGATACCCATGAGTATGTTTACGAGGATAGACGAAGAGATGGGTGTTGATAGCGTACAGTTCCCTATTCTGGAGGATCAAGCCTTGAGGCCAACTTCTCGGCTCCGTTTGGCGGAATGAGCATCGACTTCTCCTTCATGGACCAGATAGTGGTCTTGCACGAAGATGAGTAAGTGCAGAATTCGCTCAGCATACCAAATCTACGATACTAACGTAGCCTGTAGTATGGATGTCGTAGTTCAGCCTTCGGTACCCTGGATGAGTCTCAACGACCAGATCAAAGACTCAGGTCTGTTCTTTCCAGTTGACCCCGGTCCATCGGTACGTTCTCATGTGTTACACTACATCGCGACCAACAAGCGGAAATCCCAAAGCGGAAATCCGAACCTATGTTAACGGACGTGGCAGGCTCGAATTGGAGGCATGGTTGGTACAAGCTGCAGGTGAGGTCGCCGACTGCTGGCGACATGGTTTCTATAGCTAACGTCACAGTGGGACTAACGCGGTGCGATACGGCACGATGAAGGATTGGGTCATTAATCTGACCGTTGTCCTCGCGGACGGCACAATCATTAAAACAAGACGCAGGCCTAGGTATGCAAGATGATTATAATTTCCGATATGAGAATGACTAAAAGTCTCTAGAAAATCGTCTGCCGGTTACAATCTTACCAACCTCTTCGTTGGCTCCGAAGGAACACTGGGCATAGTGACCGAAATCACTTTGAAACTCGCTGTAGTGCCCCAAGAAACCAGTGTCGCAGTTGTGACTTTCCCCACGATTCGAGATGCCGCAGCAGCAGCTTCCAAGGTGTTGCGCGCTGGAATACCAGTAGCTGCGATGGAAATCATGGACGACGTGCAAATGGGGGTGATCAACAAAGCCGGATCAACGACCAAGAAATGGAAAGAATTACCGACCATGTTTTTCAAGTAAGTCGTCAAGATAACTGTTTGACATGTGAAAGCATACACTAAGAGCCGCACACAGATTCTCGGGAACCAAAGCAGGGGTATGTCAGCCCTATGCGGCCTGCATTTACCCAGAATGAAACTGACTGCATGTAGGTACAAGAGAACATTGAGCTGGTGAAGTCCATTTCAAGGAAACACAAAAGCGGAGATTTTGAGTTTGCTGTCAGCGCCGAGGAGCAGAAGACACTATGGTCGGCGCGCAAGGAGTCTTTGTGGAGCATGTTAGCGCTCCGTCGCGAGGGTGACGAGGTGTGGTCAACGGATGTCGCGGTGCCCATTTCCAGACTGCCTGACATTATCGGTGTGTTGTCACGCTAAGCTTAATATTGAAGCGGGTTTGCTGATTTGTCGACAGAAATCTCCAAGAAGGAAATGGATGACCTCGGCCTTTTCGCGAGCATCCTAGGTCACATTGGAGACGGCAACTTCCACGAAAGCATCATGTACAACAGCAAGGATCCCAAAGAGCGAGCAGCTGTGGAGAAATGCGTTCACGACATGGTCGACCGTGCGCTTGAGATGGAGGGCACATGTACCGGCGAGCACGGCATTGGGTTGGGAAAGAAAGCATCACTGGAAAAGGAGCTCGGCCTAGACACCATCAACGTGATGAGAAGCATCAAGGGCGCATTGGACCCGTACTGGCTCATGAACCCAGGAAAGATCATGGACGCTCAGGCGTAGAGTTGCATACTGACACGGCACATTTCTTCTCGTTCTGGTTCCTCGAGGAGCATCCATGGGGAGGATGTCTGACATTCTGGTGCATTTGTTAGGGCATACATAGATTTCTCAGCATCTCAATCATTGAGTACCGTTCTGGTTTGGTAATGAAAAAGTACGATTTGCGGCAAAGAGATGACTGTTCAAGATGCTCGCGCGCATGGAGACCTCCGTGATCGGCTGGCGTCGCGTTTTCCACCCCACTCCCCGCGTCATACCTGAACTTTATGAACTCCATTGACTCAATTCCTCAACACCAACAACCACCACAATGGACGCTGAAAAGTTTACATCTCAAAGCAAGAGCTTTCCCAAGAAGAAGTGCGGTCAGTGTAGTTTCTCATTTGAGAGATTATTGACTAACTGAATTGCAGGTGTGCTCGGCGCGACTGGCTCAGTCGGCCAGCGCTTCATCCTCCTTCTGGCACTACACCCACACTTTGAACTACACGCTGTTGGAGCATCTGAGCGGTCAGCTGGCAAGAAGTACAAGGATGCCGTCAAGTGG